CAGGCTCTGAGCTGACAGCACAGAGCCTGACACGGGGCTCGAGCTCACGGACTGTGAGATCATGACCTGAGCTAAGTCGGACGCTTAACCGACCGAGCCACCCAGGTGCCCCTATATGGCTCTTATTTTTTAAATTTGTCATAATAATCTTTCACACTTTTGGGAATGAAAAATAATAAAAGAGACATGAATTACAAGGTAGCAGAATTTATTCTTAATTTTTGCTTGTGTGGGTCATACAGATTCCAAGTTCTTGGAGACTTGTGTTCCATTTCTCAACTGCCCCAGAGTGCTCTGCATGGTGCCATGTTATCTAGTAAGCGCTGCTCAGTACCAAGGAGTACTCTATGAAAATGGAGCATTTGGAGGACAAAAGCAGTAAGAAATGTTTAAAAGGAGATGAAAACAAAAAGAGAAACCTGATGGAAAGGGTGAGCATCTGTACTGACCAGCCCCTCCCTGAATAAGCAGACATGTGGTCACTGGTCATCACATAACCCATTCTTCTCGTGCTTCCTTGTGACGCTTTCCCAAATGACACCTGCCTAAGCGCTCTCTCAAGCAGCTGCTACTTCTCCTTTGTCTTGTTGCTTTCCAACCTCTCAAAGTCAAAGCAAAGACTCAAAGATGATGTGGAGTGGGAGTCACTGGGTTAGCGATAGTGTCAGAAGCTCCCAGGTGCCCTCACTCTGCCCTGAGACTTTAGTTAACTCTCCCCTTTGAAAATGTGTCCTAGTTGATTTATTATTTAAAAAAAAAATTTTTTTTTTTTTTTTTTTTTTGAGACAGAGAGAGACAGAGCATGAGCAGGGGAGGGGCAGAGAGACAGGGAGACACAGAATCCGAAGCAGGCTCCAGGCTCTGAGCTGTCAGCACAGAGCCCGACACGGGGCTCGAATTCATGGTCCGTGAGATCATGACCTGAGCTGAAGTCGGACGCTTACCCGACTGAGCCACCCAGGCGCCCCTGATTTATTATTAACCTCCCTTCCCATCCCCCTCCAACACTTCCACCATTAAAACACCAGTGATCCAAGTCAATCCCATATTATAGGTGAAAACACTAAGGCTCAGGAACCCCAACCTATCATTGCCGGTCAGGCCTCTGCATTTGCACATTCCCTGCCCGAGGCCCGAGCCACCCCCTTCTCATTGCCCCCTACCATCTGGTCCCCTGGATCCCCAATCTCCATTCTGCCTGTGGCTGGGTTGACTGCCAGGTGGGTTCTGACAGTACTTTCCACTCCAAGGGCCTCCAAGAAAAGTAGTTTTACCTCCCAATCTTTCTCTCTTTCTTTTATTGACTTGTTAATAAAGGACTTGTAGTGACTGGGGAAAAAAAAAAATCAAAATACATCCTGGGGATGGGTTGTCTGAGATTACGCAGTCATCCAATAAGTAGAATAGGAAGGAAAGGGGACCATGTCTCTCTCTGTTCAATGCTCCTTCCATCAACTATATTGTATCTGCCCCAAATGCAGTCTCTTCAGCATCACTGCCTCACAGAAGCTCGTCCTTCAAAGAACAAACAAATGTTTTGGGAAGGGTTGGGATAGGGAAGCCAGTAGCTGAAGACGTTCATTTCTGCTGACTTTGGGCAGCCACTGGGGCCTCTGATCCCTACCTGAATAAAGCCGTATGGTCAGAAACAAAGCATTCCCAAATAGGGAAGTCAAGTCTTTGCTCTGGCTCCCAGGGCAATGCTGCTCAAGGCCCGATACCATGAGGTATCTGGTCTATCATGGGAGAATGAAATTGCAAGAAACTTTAAAGATACGCACCTTGGGTGTCTCAGTCATTACATCAGACATTAAACACAACAACAAAATGACAAAAGGCCCTCTGGAGCTCCTAGGTGTGTCCATGGAACGATCATTTCCTGGAGCTGAATTCTCAGGAAGGACTGTGTATTTCACCTACCTAGGGGAATGCTAAGTTCACTGAACACATCCTCGGGCTCCCAGGAAGGCAAAGAGAGGGGCTGTTTCAGCTCCACTTCCGTGTATTCCGGTGACCTCACATCCAAAGATTTTACTTCCACGTACCTGGAGTTTTCTGCAAAACATGAGCCAAGGCAGAGAACTAATGAAGCACAACAGACCTCAAAGATTCCCTGCAATTCTATTCTTGCACTGTGTGATCAGGAATGGTCCCTTGCACGGCTTAATAACACGAAGCTAGGGCAAGGACTGCTAATTAGGTCCAAAATGCTGTAATTAAGAGTTTGCTCCACTGCCAAAAAGAATGCCACACCCACGGACCCTTGGCAAACCTTTGCATTGGGTCTGTGGGGGATGGGCTGTTGCCCCTTTGGGCTGGGAGGATCCCTACCTTGCCCCCCAACTCACAAATCGCCCCATCCCTGCAGGCAGAAGGGCAAAAATTGTGCTGACGGCTGTAGGGGCAGAGGCTGACAGAAGAGGCTGTGCCGTTTCCACCCCAAGCTGCTAGAGCAGTGTTATTAAATATGAACTCCAAACACTGGGTAAGCTAATAAGCCATTAACACCAGTGCATGTTGAGGCCTATCCGGCAAACTAAAGGGGTTCAATCAGGGCAAGGTGAACAGTTTGCTCTTTCTTTACTCCTGCCTTCTGTAGACACAGCCCGGGCCTCAGTGTTTCTCTGGCAACAAGAAGGCAGCGCGTGGCAGTTTCCATGGAGACTCGCAGGTGGAAAACAGCTCAGGTCAGCTTGACAGGGAGGAAAGCCGGAGCCTCCAGCTCCCTGACAGGCTCATGCCGGCCGCAGGGCGCTGGATGGAAATGTCTCTTTTCAAGCCTTTACTCAACGGCTTCTGTCCCCAACTCTCGGCCCCCCTACTTCAACCTTCCAAGTGCCGCAGGCTTTCTGCGAAATGGAGCTTTAGTTATTTCCATGTGGAGAACACTGAGGGCTCCTCCTCCTCTGCCCCCCCTCCCTCCCGCCGTGGCCCTTGATGGATCTTTGTTTCCACTTGGCAGAGAAGACAGGGCTTAGCCTATTTTAAACTCCGTCTCTCATGATGTCATAGCGCCGGGCACAGATACAACATCACCTGCAATGGAGGCGGAGGACAGTCTGGGACAAGCCTTGTTTCACCACCAGGCCGTGGAAAAAAGGGGGTCTGCGGTGGTAGCAAGGGGAACCGGCCATACCCCTCGGCAGCACCTTGATCCTAACCTCCGCCCGCTCCTGGCTGCTTTCTTGCCTCTCTGGCTGCTTTTCCCGCCCCCTCACTCGGGCCTCACAGAAATAACAGCCTGGGTGGTCCACCGTTGTGCAGCCATGACAGGCTGCTTGCTGACCGGAGGACCCGAAGCCCCTTGGCCTGATAACTCAAAGCTTTTGCTAGGTTTTACTTGTCAGAGTCCACCTGGGCTCCCGTAAATTCAGAGAAGTCTGCCCTATCTGAGTTTGCTTCTCAGAAAACATGTGGCCTCCTATCTGATTTCCTTTACACCGTTTGCCTAAAAGCGCTAACCGTTTAACCAGGCCTTTAGAAGCTGGCTTTCTGCACCGACTTTAATGCTGGCTGAAACCTTAGTCATGTTCATTCCAGCCTGCACATGCCCACACACCTCCCTAGGTGAGCAGTGGTCCCATCAACCCAAGCGCACAGGAGAAAAGGGAGGTAGTTACCCTGGGTGGACACTCCTTGGCAAGCCTGGCTTTGGAGGTCAGTTTCGGTGCGGGGGCTGGCTTTCCCCTCCAGGGGACCGCCTTCACATGCCCCATCTTCGGGGGGCCCCCCGGACTTGCAGTCATCGAGAGGTGGGCTAGGCTGCCGGGTCCCCTCCTCTGCTGGCTTGGGGGAAGACATTTGCTGGAGTGGAGGGGCCGGATGAACATCGGAGCTCTCCCCTCCCTTTGCCTGCTTCTCGTAGCAATCTGAACCCTCCAGTGAGAGGTCTGTCTTACGTTCAGCTGGCTTCCGCTCAGCGTCCAGATTTAGGCCAGGCATTTCCACGTCCATGTCACTGGGACAGCTCGTGGAAGCAGGAGGCAGATCTTTGGGTGACTTGAGGCTGAGTTCCGTAGCCCCGTTACCTATGGGCTTCACACACTCGTTGGTGAAATCCTTGGTTACGTCCAGGTCTAAGGTGGACGTCACACAGGGACATATTTCTGGGCAGATTTTGTCCTTCTGGTCAATGGGCACAATTTCTTCCAGTTCTGGGATGTCTGGTTCCATAATAAAATCTTCCTCCTCCCCAACCTCGTCCACTGTAACCAGCTCCTCCATGTTAGTCGGATACCAGCTCTCCCCTTCTGCCTCACTTCCACTCTCCCAGTCTTGCTCCTGAACAAAAATGCAGAATAAGGGTCAGAGAGTGACTGAGAAGCAGGTCATAGTATTCAACCAGAGCGCACAAACCTTGACCACAGGACCCCTAAAAACCAGAAAGATCCTGAGCACTCTTACTTCTGCCTGGGAACATTTGCTGGCTAATGAGGAGCTGTAACCCACTCAAGTCCCACATCATTGATTCATCTCTAGGTTGGGGCTCAAAACAGCATTTGGAATAAGCCCTTAATGCTTCATCTACCATGTTTAAAACGGCACACAGAATTTCAAGCCCTGGTACGTAATAGGTGCTCAATAAACAGTTTTTAAATGAGTGAATGACAAACTTACAAACTCTAAATAAATCAACTTGCTGGAGCTATTTCCTTGCATGTAGGCCATCACTGAATGTAACAGTAGCAAAGTCCCCCCACCCCACCCCCACACTAAATTCCCCCAAGGTCCCTTTCCCAGCAAGGGTGCAACCTACACAGCCATGGCTCATACTCAGCCCCTCCTGAAACTTCTCTTCACGTCCCCAGCAGCCAGATTTCGGAGATCAACTTCCTTGCCAGTGATACCCATCTCTCTACCTCTCCTGACCAGAAAGACACAAAGCTGGCCACGTTCCAAACACATTTCTTTTTGCTGAGGCAGCCCCAACACTGTAAGTGGATGTTTTACTTTAATTAAGTCAAATAATCTTTGCGAGCACAGTAGATGTTTTGTTAGTCCCAGGGTCTGGGCATGCTGAAGTCAGGGCCCCAGCCTGTGCATCCAAAGCTCCCCTCTTCCCCCAGCCCCTCCCAAGGGACCTATTTTGGGAGCCTGGCTCTGAAGCCTGAGTCTTTTTTGGGCACATGTTTTCTCTTACGAGCACAGCCAAGTCGTTGGAGACTGAGGCAGAGCCCAGGCATATGGTAAAGAGCTCCTTAGTAAAGACTGTGCAAAGATCCCAGGGAAAACCATTCTCCCAAAACCATTCTGGCTTCATTCGTGGAATCACAGGTGGGGTGTTGGACACATCCGTGCAGCGAGCGGGGCATCACAGGGCAGGATGGGGACTCCAGAGACGTGGTGCCCAATTGCCATCATGCACATGTGGCTCTACGCAAACTTTACCTTTGTCCTTGTGTCCTCTGCATCAGAGGATTCTGTTTCTTTCTCCTGCCTGCCCACTGATGCGGTGCTTTCTTCCATGCCCTCCTGCTCCTCTTTTCCAGCCTTACCAAAGGAAGAACAGAACAAACCAAATCAACAGTGAGCAGTGGCAGAGAAAAGAGGAAGTGCCAAGAGAAAATGATGCTGAGCACAGCTAACAGTCACTAAGTGTGTTTTCACAGACAACATTTCCTTTATCCTCACAAAAACCCCTTGGAGGCAGGTGCTATGATCTTCATTTTACAGATGAGGAAATTAAGGCTCAGAGAGGTTAAGTAACTTGCTCAAAGTCACACAGACAAAGGAGGCACAGAAATGTCTTAATGGCTGGACTGATGTCTTTAGTGGGGCAGAAATCCCTGGCAAACTGGGTGCTTTTCGTTGTTATGAAACCTACAGACAGGAGAAGTAAAGGGACCAAGGGTGAACTGGCCCTGGGGTTAACAAACATCATGGTGACATCTCCCCCAAAGATCTGTTGCGGCCATAGAAGTCCCATCCAGGGCACTTATGAGTAGGAAGGGGGCGGTCAGCCGACCAGTGTCCTCTCACCCCTCGTTTGTCCTCTCTCTTTCCTAGAGCTACAGTCCAAACTAGCAATCCCCTCCCTTCTTCCTTCCTTCTATTCCCTCCCTCAAATTCAGTCCCTCATGATAGACAGTGCTCATGTCTGAGAAAGCAAACAACTAGAAGCAGGTGTTCGGTTGGAGAATTAGCCTCTGAGCAGCCTTGAAAACAGGGTCAGCAAACACTCATCCTCAGGTCAAATCTGAGCTCCTTTTACACAATCTGTGAATTAACAAGGCTTTTCTCATTTTTAAATAGTTGCTTTTTAAATGATTACGTAAGTGCCTACATAATATCTTCACGTTGGCCTCTTGGCCCACATAGCCTAAAACGTTTGCTGTCTGGTGCTTTGTAGAACAAGTTTGCCAAACCTCATTTTAGAAGTTTTTGGAGGATACTCTCCCCTGACTTAAACTTTGGCCACCAGATCAGTGACTCTTCCTGGACTTTCTCAGGGGCCAGCTGCATCTTCCCGACGATTCTGGCTGAGGTTGGCTCTGAGTAAGTGACTCTGGTTCTGATTCCTTACAACTGGACACACCCCTCTGGCGCTGACACAGAACCAGCTGGGGCAGGAGCTCAGAGCTGACTGGTTTAACCAGTTATTACCAGACAGGGGAAGAGAGCTAACATCCTCAGGTCCTTGCTCTTTCTGGTATTTGGAGCGGAAGATTCCAAGCTCTGCTCTGATCTTCCAAGCTAGCCTAAGTGCAAAGCAGCTCCAAATGCCTTTTTAGCCATCAGAATGCATAGCTTCCACCAAAAGGAGAGGTCTTTTATTGTTATCTCCCTGAATAAACTACCTATGGCTCTCCCTTGTCCGAGTAAGTAACGCTTACCCTCCCCAGGCAAATTCCTCCAGCCACACTCCTAGGTGGACACAATAGAGCCCCCTCCAATTCCAGTTGGGAGAGGCAGGGGCAGCCTGGCCCGAAGTAAGCACCTCACCATTTGCATCTAGGCGTTTCTTCCCGCAGGCAAAGGAAGAGCAGTGCCTTCAGTGTGCCCCTCGCCCTGGGATCACTTTAAGTGAGAGCAGCAGTTTAAGGGAAGCCAAGAAATGCAATCAATGCACCCAGCTGCCCGCGCCAGCTCACAGACTAAGATATTGGGCCCCAACTGTTGCAAGCAGAGCTCTGCCTCCACAGAGCTAGGCCTACAGTTAAACCACCTCCTAACTGGTCTCCCCCTTCTGCCCTGTAGCCTCCTCCCAAGTCTATTCTCCCCAAGGCGATCAAGAATGATGACTCCACAAGGCAAAAACTGTCCTAACCTCACCACACCTTCTTGCTTAAATATTTCATTTGTTTCCCTTTGCACTCGGGATAAAGACACAAATCCGTAACCTGCCTACAACCTTGCATGATAAGGCCTGTTGACAAACCAGACCTATGTCTCAGCATTCTAACCCTGGCTGTCTCTGTTCCTGCAACACTGACCCTCAGCCACAAGGCCTTTGCACATGCTGTTCTGTCTGTTCTTCCTTTCACTCAGTGAAACCCACCATTCCTTCAAATCTCAACAGTCGCATCTTAACCCAGGGAAGCCTCTAATTTGTTGCCACCTTAACAGTAGTATATACTTCCATCTCCTTCTTAGCACTTAACTCATGCTCTTCTACTCATTTGAGGAATTATTTGATTAGTGTGTCTTTCCATTAGACCATGAGCTCCTGAGATCAAGGGTCATTTCAGTTTTCACTCAGAACTGTAGTCCCAGTGCTAGGTGCTCTGTGGATATTAGTCAATATGAGGATGGAGACTGGAAGGAGGGGGTGGAGTGGTTAACTAGCTCACACCTGCCTCTGGCATGCTTAGGTCTCTGTCTAGGCTCTGAACTGAGCATAAGTAGTTTTTCTGTTTCTCCCTTCTATGGACTGCCTATACCGGGGGCTGCATTCTAGGGAACCTTGGGCTCCATCTGGCCTACAGACATGTTCTAGTCTATACAGTTTCTAAAATGTGGAAAAATTTCAGAGATACGTGGATTTTGGTGCCGCTCTTTAAAAAATGGGGGATCTAATAGCACCCGGCTTGCATTCCTGAATGGCAGCCATAGAACAGAGCTGAGGAGTGGCTAACTGCCCCCAGTAGACAGGTACCCCCTCCTTGGTCTGCCATGATTACTTCTTTCCACGTTGGCTTCACCCCTATTACCAGGTCTGTGTCCCCTTCCTGGCTTCCTTTCTCCAGGCATCTGGGTCTATAACCCTTGATCGCCCTTCCAGTAAGGTGGAGGAATGTTTCATACCCATGTTCACCCTATTCAGTGACTTGATCTCTTTCTTTCTTTCTATGGCCTTGTGGTCAAGGTTGAGTCTCAGGTGTGGACTTGGCCACTTACAAACACTGAACAGCACACACACTGGCCTCTCCAGCATGGGCACTTTCTCCAGACATCTTAGAGGTTTTGAATGAGCACAAGCTCATTAAAGCCCTATGACAGCCCTGTGATCACACCCATCTCACCAATGAGAAAATTGAGGCCCAGAAGAATAGGGAGTGACCTGGTTCTCAGAAGCCAGGCCTTTGTCTCCAGAATCTGGGTCAGTCATTCCTTTCTTCCTTCAGCAAATACTTACTGGGCACCCACTCTGTGTCAAGCCCTGATTTCGGGACTGGGGACATAGCAGTGAGCACAGCAGACAAAAATTCCTGCCCTTGTGGAGGTTATGTTTGGGGGCTGTAGGAGACAGACACTAAATAAAATAAAGACAGACCAGGGGATAGGTTGGACCTAGGAGAGTTTGGCAGGGAAGGAAGACAAGTGAGTTGGGACACTGTGGTTTTATGTTGTGGGATTTCTCTCCAGGAATAAACTTGCGGGGGGAGTAGAACAACAAGTGAAAGGTGGGGAGGAAGAAGCCACGTGACTTTGGCAGGGGAGGGGTCTCAGGCAGGTGAACATGTGTAAAGACCCTGTGGTGGGAGGTGTCTGGCATGTTAGAAGAAGGCAACGACACCGTCCTCAGCCAAGCTGTCTTCCATCTCCAAGTTCAGTCACTGCCTGTTATCTGACTCCTGGGGCAGCCCTGGAGGATTTGGGTCATTTTCAAGATTGTTATATACGCTTTGAGATCAGTGAGGGAAAGTCTATGCTACTGATATTCCGTCAGAAAAAGGGTTTGGGGCTTCCTGGCTCCCAAACCCACAGAAACAATCCATTGGGGACCCCAAGTCCCCACCGACTCCACTCTAGGGCTATTAGAGGCAGAACCAATTAAAGAGACAGAATTTGTGGAAACCCATGGGGCTTTCTGGGCATCTTTTTTTTGCAACAGGGCTCTGGGGATGACCCATAGCATGTGTCACCTTAAATGGGCAAACCGATGAAAGCAGGTGGGTGAAATAGTAGGAAAAATACCGAGACTGAAGAAGAGTCTCAGAAATGTGGGTAGGCTTGTGAAGGGGCAGCTCCATCACTTTGCCATGGGGACACAGGGGGCTGGGCTGCTGGCATGTGTATGAGGCCCAGGCTTGAGCCCTTGGCTCAAGGGGCTGCTGCTCTCTGTCCCTCTGTGACTCTTTGGAGGCACTGACCCATCACCAGCCCCTTAGGTACCTCCAAGTGTAGACACACTTCTTAAAAACACCCTCTGGTTCACAGGTCCTCGGGATCCAGTTCAAGTCCTCAGCAAGGCACACAAAGGCCTTTGTGGACCCACCCCACCCAGGTCCCTAATCTCACCTCCTGAGCAACCCCTGCTGTGCCAGTCAGGAAAAACCGTGGCTGACTTTGAGATGGGCGAAAAGACAACAGGGTGTTCTTTCCACGGACCGCTGGGCAGTTAGCTGTCCAGTACACCCTTTCCGGGGGTCCCATCCTTAGGAGTTGGGGCCTTTTGTTATCTGGAACTATTTTATAACCCTGCAAACTACAGAAGACGGATCGTAGTGCAAATGATTCTTGTTCCTAGAGATGCAATTTTACCTGCTGGAGATGCAGCTGGCTTCCCGTGGAAAAGGCTTTATGTCTCTTAGCAAATTCATTTCAGCGTTCTCAATTGCCTTTCCATGTTGCCTGTTCTTTGGCTTCTCCTTTGACTCAGCTTTTACATCTTACGGATCCCTCGTTAATTAATGGGTTAAATAACATCTTTGACATGTATTCATTTTATGTTTGCACAAGAGCCAGGGTTTTACTGTTTAAAAACATTATTCTTTAATATGCCCTAAAGACACCGCCATGCTGAGTATCTCTAGGTTCTTGAAAACAGTCTTCTTTTCTCACTTTTGCCTTCGCTGCTTCCCAAATTGCTTTTGTCCCCACTTTCCATGCCTGGCCAAATGTCACCTCCTCTGTGCTGCTTTCCTCTTCTCCTGGTGCAGAAGTAATGCCCACAGAACAGCCCATCTGCTACTCCGCTCCAGTATGGGTCCCACTGACCGTAAATCACTTTTGGTAGCTCTCCTTCTACCATTAGACCTTGGTCTCCACTACAGCCTGGACCATGTCCCCTTCACCTTTGGACCCCCTGTGTCTAGCACGCTACCTGTCAAAGTGGCCTCCCACCAATGCATATAGGAGTGAATGCAGTAGTGAACAAAAGCGTGACTCTTCAGCGTCCATGGCCTTGAGAACTGGGCTCCTTATTTCAACTTAGTCACTGTCACTAACTCCTGAATCAAACTAGGAGACAGGCACGTAGGGTTTTTTAAATTGAGTTCCTTCTGAAGCACCCCCTCCCCGACCTCCACGATCCCACTCCTACTTAAATGTAGGTGGTTTTGGGAAAGGAGGAAGTATAAACCAAGCCAGGATGTAAATTTTGTACCCAGAGTCCTCGCGGCTCACTGTGTGAACCGAAGTTATATAGCAGGTTATAAGCCCTTCCAGACGCTTGGATGAAAGGTGCCAGCCAACTGCCGAGCATTTTTATTACAGTGGAAGTAAAACACTGGACAGTGTCTAGGGAGGCACTCCAAGCCCTGGGCACCCAGTGTCACGTAGTGGGTGGTGGCTGCTTCTCCTTTACCACCTCTCATTGAAGCCCCAGGGTCGGCAGATGCTTTTGGCAGGAGAAAGAATGGAGCAGACCAAAGATCTAATCTCCCTGAGCAGAGTCCGCGACACCGCAGGCCGCCTCCGCTCCGGGCACACGGGTCCACAGACGGCCTTTGCATCATGTCATGTCGCTGCCTAACTTCTAGTAAAGGTAGCCACGCGCCAAGGGATTTGGAGCCCGATCGCTCTGTCATTTCCTGACCGTGTGTCCTTGGACAACTCCCTTAAGCTCTCTGTGCCTCAGTTTCCTTATCTATAGCAATAATAGTATTATTACCATTATTACCTCATACAGTTGCTGGCAAGATTAAATAACTTGACTGAGACAAAGTGTTTAGTACAGTGCCTGGCACAGAGTAAACATCCAATGAGTGTTCCATTCATTCAATAAATAAATGTTCATCATCATCATATTAATATTACTGTCCTCGGGAACCTGCCTCTCCTTACCTGGGGAAGAGATTGCATCGTTACCTCATTCCCCGCCATTCTGCTTTCTTTTCTATCATCAGCTCCTTCTTGGTCTCTATCAGGTCTCTTGGTTCTGTTTTTCTCACTCTGCTTAGACTTGACGCTCTCAGGGGCCCTAGTGACCTTCGGCTCCAGCCCGTCTTCCTTGCCTGAGTCCTCGGGGTGGGGGTGTCTGCTCTCCCGCAGCCTGGCCTCCTCTTTCCTCCTGGACCTCCCGGGAGCTTCCTGCTGCTGCTTTACATACTTGTCCGATTTGCCTTTGGGCTCCTTCCGGTAGTAGCTGTCTTCTCGGCTTTTGTAGCCCGAGGCAGAGTGCAGCGGGCTGGGGGACCCGGGCCTTGGGTGCTTTTCTCGGTGGCCCCTCCCTCCTTCCAGCCGCTCATCTAACTCCGCTTTGTCCAGTTGCCAGGGGTAGTGTTTGCGATCATGTGGCCACGCGTCTGCCCTGTCCCTCTTGTCCTCTCCATTCTCCCTCCAGGGGCTCGAATCTCGCTCTTCCTCCCTTCTGGCATAGGGCGAGTGCTCCCACAAGTCCCGGCTGTTGCCCCAGTCGGTGCGGGTGGGGCCCAGAGGGCTGTGGGAAGAGCTGCAGGAGGTGAAGCTCGGCGTGTGGGACCTCGGGGACAGTGACCGGCTCACCGGACTGCGAGACCGTGGCCTTTCTGGGCCGTATCTGTGAAGGAGCCAAGGAGTGTGTTTTATGATCTGCATGTCCCCTGCCCCCATGCACAGATATGCCCAGTGGACATACTGTGCACTAACCCCATGTGGCCATACACTCTTCACCACAACCGCACAGCCAGCACAGAGAGTGGTGCAGGAGAAAGCTTTTCCTCCCCTCTGGCTTCTAAGGAGGAGGATTTTCCCAGAGTACAGTCCTGGCTGTCTCTGCCCTTTTACTCATTCTGCTTCTGGGAACAGGGATAAATAACTGGACTGGTTAGGCTCAACTCCATCTTTCTTCCTCTTGGAAGGAAGCTAAGCTCAGGGGACAGGCAACTCTCCCTCTGGATGTGTGTGTGTGTGGTGGTGGCGGGGGAGGCGGTGGTTGCCCTGGTCTAGCCTGGTGGGCAAGGCTGCCTGACCCTGGGGTTCAATTAGCCAGCGTCTCAACTACAAGACCAAAGCCACAACTCCACCTGACTTTTACCGTAATGAAGGCAACCTCTTGGCCTCCATTTTTCTTGTTTGTTTCTCATCTCAGTTTGTTTAGGTCTTGGGCATAGTAGAAGGATGCTAATTACTGGGGGGACAAGAGTGAGGAGGGCAGGCTCAGAGATTCCAAAACCAAAGAACTAGGAGGGCACTTTAGGGTTGGAGGGAACCTTAGAGCTCTGACCTGCTTGTGTTTCAGATGAGGGGACTGAATCCCAGAAAAGGGATTCTCAATCTGCCTAAGATTCAGAGCAAGACCTAGTTCTTCCAGATGCTCCGCTGAAGAACTGTGGGAAGCATGATCCGCCTTTAAACGCATCTTTAAAAAAATCCCAACCAACCATTTAAAAAAAACCCAAACAAATAAATGGGGATCCCAAACCTGAGCAGCTAGATACATACAAAGACACACACACACACACACTCCCCAGCCTCTCTCTCTGGGGATTGTTTGGTGATTAAGCAGCTCTAGTTAATCATGTACCCATTATTCTAAAAGAATGGGCAATTTTCGTTTGGTTTCCAAATACAGAAAAACCAGACAGCCCTCACTTACCAGGGGACACCCAGAGGTGGCTCCCTAGGACCAGGCTGCCTTGACCATCAATGGGGAAACAGCCTGGACCCAGCCTGGTGAGAGCACTATCTGTGGCAGCCCCAGGTAGAACCATGGAAAGTGCAGGCCAAGTGCTGGCTCCTGTGGTCTCCACCTTGGCTCTCCCTCCACAAGGGCTGTTTTCGTAGGGCAGCGACAGGGAGAAACTTGTACCCCCAACTTGACACGGTCCCAATTTCAGTCGGAAGAAAGGAGTTGGAAAACTGAATGCATTCAATATGTTCAGAGTAGGTGACTGGGCAAGTCACTACTTTTGGGGGGTTCACCTACATTTCTGTTCTTATATCTACATTCAGCTCATGAAAAGCCAACAGCTGGCTCTAAATAGAACACACACACACACACACACACACACACACACACACACACACATACTGACTTTAAGGTTTTTTAGCAGAGTGTAGCCTTGCCCCAAAGGGCCAAATATCAACAGAATCCCTTCTATATTCCTTTCTAACAAAGGAGGTGCAGATGAGAGGAAGCCTACCATCTTGCATTTTCCTGAGGCTTAACCTGAGCAGCAGTTCTGGACGGCATCCGGCATGTGGAAAAGTAGGGCCCAGAAAGGCTGATGGACGGGGCAAGGGCAGGGCACAGTGTGACTCAATACCCGTAAGAATGAGAGACAGGAGAGTGTCCCAGCTGCCCAGAATCCTCCATGATGCCCAGAGCTGGGGCCTTACCTGTCTGCTTCCCGGAACATGTCCCTCTCCCTCTGGGAATGCATGTCCTGGATGATGGCAGCCACCGTTTTCCCGGGTTTCTAGGCAAAGTCAGAGAGGTCATCATCAGACCAGAGACAGCCATGCAAATACCAAAGGGAAACAGAGAAGACTTGGGTCCATTGCCCGGTCCACCCAAGGGGAAAAAAAATACCTTTTTAGAGGAAGAAGTTTAATCCAGGGAATGAGGAGTGTGAGCATAATGCTGAATGGAGGGGCCCCGACATTTTGGGTACCTCTTTATTGTAGAACATTTTAAATATATGCAAAAGCACACAGAATGGTATGTTGAACCCCCATGACTCCATTTCCATTGTCAACAATTCTGACCAACCTAGTTCATCTGTACCCGAACCCTTTCCCCACCCCACAGAATATTCTGAAGCAGATCTCAGACATAATATCTTCTCATCCATTCTATGAGGACACTGATATGGCTCAATAACACCATAGGGAACCATCCATGGTGCTTCTGGTCAACACATCTTGCTCTGTTTAAGACAAGGGTGAGAGGTCAAGCCCCATGCTGTTCCAGGAAGTGCTGGCATACTCAAGGGGATGTACCTCACCTTGAGAATCTCAACCCAGGAAGAACAGCTCTGCTTGGCCTCTAGCTGCCTGAGTGATCTGGGGTCAAGGCTCGTTGTCTATGGGAGGCTCCCTTTCTCCACCTATAAAGTTCAGATAATGAGGCCCATCTGGCATCCACCAATAGCCTCAGGGCACAGCAGACTAGGCTGGTAAAAGCCACAGGTACTGGGCCGACATAAAAGGAGGTGTTGGAGGGTTTCACACCCTCTGAACCCTCTGTGGCTGTTTTCTAGGCCATGCCTCAAGAGTCCTGTGAAGATGCTGAAACTTTCCAGATGAGCCCTTAACTTGTCATAGCCAGACCCTGTCCCAGCAGCCCTGATAGTTTTCAACATTACTGTGCTTTCCAGGGTCTGCTTCCGTCCTCACCTGACTCCTTTTGCCTGGACACCCTCTCAGTTTATCTGACTCTCCTCATCCTTGAAGGACCTGCTCAGTAATCTTTCCCTTCTTTATACAACCAAGTCATACTGGCTTTTGCCACTGAACTTCTAGGAGCTTCCAAACTGATGCACTCGCTTAAGTCTTGTATAATTTCCACAAGAATAATTTGCCTCTTCGGTTACACAGCAAACTCTCCCCAAGTGAGGACCAAGCCTCCTATCAGCTGTAGCTCTCAGCACCATATCTTACATGAAATCAGTCACCATCTGCTGATTTAATCTTCCTGTGAGCACCACAGGAACACACACAACTGCTTCTCAGGGCCAGAGACCCCCTCTGTGGCAGGGAAGCTGGCAAGACCAGTGGCCCTGAAACCAAGCCCTCTGCCGCCAAACTGCCTGGGACCCTCAATCCCACCCTGAATCTACTGACGGGAAACCTCAGTAGAGGGAAACCTCTGCTCCAGAGAACCTGAAAACTCCCCTGACGACTGAGAGACACTGGTTTAAACTATCCTAAGTTCCCTTCTGCATGTGAGACACTATGATTCTGGAGAAGTCTCTATGGAACAACCCAGAAAATAGCTCATCCTTCTTGTCTGGGTCTGCAGGAAGGAAAACTCACTTTTTATTGTTCCTTCAGATTTACTCTTCCTCATTCATTCCATGCATTTGCTGGATACATGTTATGTGAAAAGTTCTTACCCAAATGCCCTGAGGAATAGAGCCTTTGCCGCAAAGAGTGTATAGAGAGACATGATTATCAGCATGAGGAAATATTCAAGACAGGAGATGAGAGATACCTTAAATCTCTCTTTTCTCTCCCTGCACTTTGCCTGGTGAGCAAAAGGTAAAGTTAGAGGAAAAAGACCAATCAAAATTTCCCCCCACCTCTGCAAACCCTGGTGGGACCTCAAGCGGTGGCCCCTTGGGCCCAGAGACACATATGGATACAGTGTTTTGCTGTCTACCTCCCTAGTAGGCCATTTCCCCTTTTCCACCTCTGCTCTGGGGTGACACAGGCCTGGCCAGTCACAGCAAGGCCTTCCCTGGCCACAGAGATTGGTTCAGGTAAGGACATGTGTCCCAAACTAGCTCGAGCACAGACAAGGCCTCTCAGCACTTAGGAGGAAGCTACTAGGAAAAACTCTGGCTCTGTTGTTGAAGGAAACGGGAGGCCAGAGCTGCTGAAGTCAATGAAGCCACCACGCCACCTAGAGGCTGGAGCCGGGGGCCATCCAGGGGGACCCCAAAATAAAGCAAAGTGAACAGAAGGCAGAGTGCAGAAAAGCCAAGTCCTAATGATATCACTTAGGCCCTAAATGCAGCTGTGCCCACAGCCGCAGTCAGGGTTACTCCTGGACTTTTCATTTACATGAGCCAATAAACTTCCTTCCTTACTTTAGTTGATGAGCTTACATGAGACAAATTTCTGTCACCTACAGAGAAAGTCCTAGCTGGCTTATGTCAACCTAGGGGCCATGATGCATGCATTGCTATGTAGTTAAAGTAGGTTTTGATATGCTTTCTATTAGAGGCATTGTGATAGTTTGGGAGCAGAAAATCCTTCCTAAAGGGTAGTTAATGTGTTCTAGACACATTGCAACATCTCCTGGGAGCTTGTTGGAAAGGCAGAATCACAGCCCTGCCCCAGATCTACTGAATCAGAAATCTTAACAAGACCTGTAAGTGACTTGTATGCACATTAAAGTTTGAGAAGCCCTGTTAGAATACTACCTGCTGCTTACTAGCTGGGTGACCATAAGCAAATTACCTGATTTCTCACGTGGACAATGGAGACCCTACTAACACAATATAGAAGTGTAGATATTGTGCAAAACCAAAACAGTCCTAGGTTTTAATCATGGCTCTTCCAGCAGCTATGATCTTGTGCAAGTTACTGAACTTCTATGAGCCTCGGTTTCCTTACCTATAAAACTGAGATAATACCTGTCTGACAGGACTGATCTCAGGATTACAGAAGATAATGTATATAAGGTGTTGGGCACGTGACTTGACCCAGAGTACCAGGACTCGATTAAAGGTATATTATTCTTGTTATTATTGTTGTACTGTTATAGTTACTGCTATTACCCACCCTACACACCTCATAGGGGAAGGTGATTGCAAGACTCAAAAAGATAATACATGGAAAAAAAAAGTGCTTAAAACCGAAGAACTCAAGGTGGAGTCCTTTACTGATCCGGCACCTAAGGTTCACAGATGTAAAGCACCTTGTCCAAGCTCCTCAAAGCAGGAAGGGGTAAAATCTAGGCTGCACCACCACCCTCCAGTCTGAAATAGGTCACATGGTTGTCAATGGTGCTGTTTTCCCTTTCTTCCTCACACCAGACTGTCAGCTTCTCCACAAGCTTGCTATGTCTATAACCATGGTGCCTGGTCCAGTGGGCACGCAGTGAACATCTGCTAAATGCAGACCTTGACCACGTGATCTCTTTAACACATGGTGTTTGCACCATCCTGAACTATTTCCCTCAGTAAGTACTGCAGTGCCTCAGTACCTTAATTTAAAAAGCTGAGTACTGCTGTTCATCCGAATTAGATTCTTACAACCACATCTCATTTAGACACCAAAGATCCACTGGGAATTCAGTGCAGAAATTCAATTTTAGCCTCCAGGGGAGAATCCAGGAGAACAGAAACTTTGGCTGGGTACATAATGGGATAGGACCTTTGATTTGTTGAGAAAAGCAACATGCTTGCATTCGCCAGAAAAAAAAAAAAAACAACAAAAAAAAACCAACCAACCAAACAAACAAAAACCAGGTTCTGCTAGAATTGTTGGTGAAGGATCTTCAGAAGCAATAATTGCAAGCAAAGCTGAATCAGGACTGGCAACTGACAACAGGCTGACACATTACCATGTACGTACGTGGACTTGTCAGATCCTAGCAACAACCACTGAGCCTCTGTCTTCTGCCTTCAACCTTGAAGGCTGATTAAGGGCTGTGGGTCTTAACCAACTGGACCCATGTAAATATGGAATAAGCTGAAGCAAACTGGAAGATCCCTATTAAAATGGGACAGTAGAAAGCACAAAATGACAAGTAGATTGAAATATAAATATGAGGCGCATGGGTGGCTCAGTTGGTTGGCATTGGATTCTTGATTTCGCTCAGGTCATGACCCCAGGGCTGTGGGATTGAGCCCCACATCAGGCTCTGTGCTGAGCACAGAGCCTGCTTAAGATTCTCTGTCTCTCTCCCTCTGTCCCTCTCCTCCATTCACATTCTCTCTTTATCTCTAAAATTAAAAAAAAAATACATACATAGCAATAGTTACAATAAATCCAAAGGGACTAAGTGCTCCAGTTAAGTGAACTCCTTCCTGGAAACCATTAAGAAGACACAATCTAAAGACAAGCATGGGCAAATGACCCTAGAAGAAACTTTCCACCACAGAAGACCCAAATGGAATAGCTAACGAGCATAGGAAAAGGGGCTCAACCTCAATTAGTAATCCGGAAAATAAAAAAATAAAACCATGACAAACCATTATACTCTCCCAAGACAGGCAAAACTTAAAACGCCAGATAACAAAATGTTAGCAAGAATGCAGGCCACTGAACACCCTGACACTAGGAGGAATGTAAATCTAGGACAACTAATTTTGAAAAGAGCTTGCTACTATTACCTAGCAAAGTTCAGGGTAAGCATGCCTTGAGATCCAGCAATTCCACTCCCAGTTATGTATGTGCCCCTAGTTATGTGCTCGTGTACCCGTGTACCAGGATACCGTGTTCAAGAGTGTTCACAGTAACCTTGTCCCTAATACCCTAACACTGGAAGCAGCCCAAATGTCCACAGACAGTGGAACATATAGATAAATTCATAGTCGGACAATGGAAATTTACATAACGATGAAAATAAATAGACACACCCAGCATGGATGGCAGATGTTGAATGAAAGAACACAAAGAGTATAATTCCATTCATGTAAAGTTCAAAAATAGGCAAAACTAAACAATCACCTTAAGGGAGGCATAAGTGGGTTGTAGAGCTGTAAGGAAAAGCAAAGAAATGATCATCCTCCAAGTCAGGAGAGTGGAGAGGGAGGGGTAAAGCTTGAGGAGGGACTCAGAGGGGCTTCTGGGTGCCGCCGGTGTCTTATTTCTTGACTTTGGTGGTGGTTTTATGGGAGTTATGGGATTTCAACCATTACTACATTTAAAACTATACAATATATAATTAGTCATTTTTCTGAATATATGTTATACTTCACAATAGAGCAAGAAGAAAGGAAAAGAGAAAAGAAAAGGAAAGAAAAGGAAAGGGAAAGGAAAGGAAAGGAAAGGAAAAGAAAGGAAAGAAAAGAAAAGAAAAGAGAAAAGAAAAGAAAAGAAAAGAGAAATGTAGAATAAGCTAAAACAAACAAGCAAACGCCCTGTTTGGAATTATCTGAATTCATCCCTGATAGTCATTCTGACAGTGGCCAATTCAGTCATGTGTTGCTTAGGAGGATTTCTATGGGGCTTAAGATATAATTATAGAGGATGAAGGAGAGAATAAGAGATCAAGGCAGGGCAGTAATGAGAGAGGAAGTGAAAATTCCTGAAGACCCGTACTTCAGTACAGAAAAGGGAGTCCTATTCAGGAGGTTATACTCAGAGCTCCCACCTCTGAAATGCAACCACCTTCCCTTTCTTGTTTCATCCTTCAAGACTTCCCCTGCAGAATCCTCCTTGGGTCCCAGGTAGTTAGTCATCCTGTCCCTAAAATCCCTTTGCATTTTGTACTCACCTCAATAAGCATTCCACATTATAATGGCTGGACTTCCCACGTGATATCCCCAAAGGCAATGGGCAATTTGAGGACCTTTCCTTGTCCTCTCCTTCCCGCCAGCACTTAGGCCAGTGCCCGACAAGGAGATGCTCGGCTGATGCTTGCTGAATGACTGAACAGTCAGAAAATGCTTTACCTTCAGCTGCAATTCCTTGTATCTCTTGGACATCCGAATGAGCAACTTCTCACCATTGATCATGGCAGATTTTTCTTGGTAATACTGGACCATGGCCTGGGCAGCTTCTGTGTAAGCCATCTCTAAAAAGGCCTAGGAAAAAATGGAAGGACATATACTCAAGTTGACTTGTATGGTCTTCAACAAAATTCAGTACCAGATATAATTCTGTGTCTACGAAGTTCAAGAATAGGCAAAACGAATCAATGCTGATAGAAGCTGGGGCTGAGCTCCCCTCTGGGGCGGGGGTGAGGTGCTGACTGGGTGGAGCACGAGGAAACCTTCTGAGGTTCTGGAAATGTTCTCTATCTTGACCTGTGTGGTAATTACGTAGGGGTACACATGTAGAAAAGTAATACACTTGAGTATACTTTAGAATATATACTTTATACCTCAATAAAAAGAAAAAAGACCAGTATAAGAGCTCTCTTTGATCCCATCTGTTCAAAGAGACCTATTTATTAACTTCACCCAAAGAGTTCATTATAGGATGGCCCCTCCCCTGATCCCCATGGTTACCAATGATTCTTAAATTATGTATGTCCATCCTGCGCTATATCATGCCACAGGAGTCCCCCTGGGATGGGAGGGTCCATTAACCCACAGTACCCTTAGGAGTAATAGGGGGGACAGTGGGTCTGTTGTACAAGTGACCTTGGGCTGATCCCTGCAAAATGTGCTATTTTGTCGTGATGATGGCAGAAGACAGAGATACAGCCATGGGTATTTGAACTCTCACTTTCTTTGCAAAGAAAGAAAAATACTAAACAACTCAGGGGCTCCCGAGGCTTGAAAGAAGGCCATGCCTTTTTGAATTACAGAGAGAAGAAAACCCTCAGTTATATCTCCAAAGCATTTTTCCTCTTTATTTAACTGTTCTGATAGAACACAAAGAACCAGGCTTTGGCATTCAATCAGTGTCTCCAGAGAGCTTCTAAATAGACTGTTTTGACTGACTTGCTGGTTTACCCCAATAGCTGCTGCAGCGGTTCACTGTCATTATCGTTTCTTAAATTTGTTTCATTTGTACTATACTGATTGGTGCACTGATCTGGTCCCTTGATGTTGGAAAGGAAAAGTGGTCTGTGACAAGAGAGCCCTCTCTGTGAGCCCCTATACTCCTGATTCCTTGATCTGAGTAGGTTAACCAAGCTGGTTCTCCATCCTTCACCCACATTTGTTTTTGAATTTCAGAGATGCTTTTCCCTGCTGTCACAGTCTATGGCAGATGTGTGGGAGATGAACAAGTCAAGATTCTTTAGCGTTTTATTTCAGATTCTTCCACCCAGTTTTCTAAGTGCCTCTTTCTTGATGCAAACATTTAAGCACCTCCAGCTCTCAACTGTCAAATGGGAATAATACTAATTCAGTGACTCCCACTGCATTAATGTTGCAGGCTGAATTTTGTACATTTACCCAAAATAGTCAGAACAAAGAGACTAAGTGAGTAGTCTAAGCCCACGTTGATGGAGAAAGACCACTGATGATCTGATGTGGCTCTGAGTCTCTAAAGTTCATGCCTTAATCAAGAAAAGGACTTCTATGTCTGTTCCTCTGGTTCACAAAATAAAAATATTAACAAAAGATAAAATATTTTTTAAAAATTCTTATTTCTGACCATTTCTTGGTATAAACTCCTCCTTTAACTTTAGAAGTGAAGACAACCATATTAACCCTCAAGTTCTCAGTCAATCCCCACAGGTTAAGGGTTCTTTGTCCTTGAGACTTACCAGGCACCCATCAATTCCCACCCACTCTCCTGCTATGAGACCCAAGGGCCTCTGGTGTTAACACCAAAGATCTGTGAAAAAAACCTGTTCCCAGTTTGCTGTTGGCTCACTCCAAATACAGGCCCTCAGATATCAGAAGCTTCTAGCATTAGCTCAGGGGGTTCATAACAGTGAAAAGACTCATGTCCATGGATTTCTATTTTGGGGGCCAGTTAGCTTTTCTGTATTAAGGAGTACCTCACTCTGAAGTACCGCCTTACCTCTAAGCAACTCACAAAGGCCCGTACCCATCACAAGAAGAGTAAAGTGAGACAAGGGTAGACAAAACACCACCACCACCGAAAACCTCTGTGCTGTCCCAGCAAGAGGCCAGCTGTGTATTACCTCTTTAAGAACAGCTTCTTTAAAAAAAATTATATAGTTCCCCTCCACCCATGTGGGGGTCTGTCTGGTACACACCAATGTGAAATTGCCCAGACCTACCTGATTAGTAGATTTCATGAGGATGTAATTAGTGACCTTTCCAAAAGGCAGCCCCAGGTTAATGACATCATTTTCCGTGCAGCTTCCTTCAGGGAGATTGCAGATGTGCACCACGCGGCCAGCACCCGTTTTCCGCTGTGCAAACTGATGGGAACAAAGAGCAGAGGCTGGTCTTCAAAAGACACTTCTCTCTGGCCCTCTATTCCGGATGTTCCTAATGGCCATCTTCCCCCAAATAATGATTGCAGGGATATAATTTCCGAAATTAATGAAGAAAAAGAACCCACTGACAGACACATACAAAATATCAATTTTATGCCACCCCTTTATAGAAAAGATTTGCAACAGTTTAATTTTTTTTTTTTTACATTTGTTTATTTTTGAGAGACCGAGTGAGACAGAGCACCAGCGGGGGATGGGCAGAGAGAGAAGGAGACACAGAATTTGAAGCAGGCTCCAGGCTCCAAGCAAGTGGTCAGCACAGGCCCCAACGCAGGGCTCGGACCCACAAACCGTGAGATCGTGACCTGAGCTGAAGTCAGATGCTCAACCAACTGAGCCACCTTAGGTGCCCCAAGATTTGCAACAGTTTAATGAGCAATCACATCCAGGGCCGTCAAAGATATGAAGACATGGGCTTATCCATGTGTCACTGTGGGGAAGCTGTTCAGCTATGATCTCTTGAGAATATACTTTAGCAATATTTAATGAAACTTAAAGTATAGATAGCCCATGATCTTGCCATCCCACTTTTGGGAAATCTATCCTACAGAAATAAATGCACCAATATATAAAAACCTATGCACAAGGATATTGCTGTTACTTATAAGGTGGCAAAACATTCTGGAGACAGCCTGGATGTCCAAAACTAGGGGAGTGTTTGAGTAAATGATGGTTCAAGTACCAGAAAACTACAGAGCCACTGAAAGGCAGAGGTAAATGAACTGATAAGGAATACTTTTAAAAATGGTTAAGTAAGTGGGGTGCCTGGAGGGCTCAATCGGTTAAGCACCAACTCTTGATTTTAGCTCAGGTCATGATCTCACGGGTCACGAGTTCGAGCTCCACATCCTGCTGCAGATCCTCTGTCTCCCTCTTTCTGGCTCTCTCCCACTTACGCTTTCTCTCTCTCTCTCAAAAACAAATAAACGTTAAAAAAAAAATGATTAAGTAAAAAACAAGCTGCCAGGCAGCACGCGCAGTACAATGCCATTTTTTTTAAAACAAAACAAAAAATCAGAATATATGAGAAAGAGATAGATAAGACAAGTGTTATAAAGTTTTAATAATTATTGGAGTCAGGGAAGGAATATACACGGGATAAATTATTCTAGTGTCTGTTGTTCTGTATGTTTGAAATTTTTCACAATGAAAAATTTGTTAAGGATATCAGCACAGACAGAGAAAGGCAGGCCGGGCAGGATACATATCAACCTGTCAACACTAGTTGACTTCAAAGAACAGAACTGGAAGGGAATAAGGGGAAAGATGTTTTTAACACTTTCTTATATACCTCATGTTGTTGGACTAGAGAAAAAGGAGCACAGCAAGCATTTTGGGGACCTTATCTATAGACATTCATGACAACAACCTGTGATTCAGGGCAGTGGCTCTCACAACTTTGTTAGCCGTGGAATCCTTTCCTCCAGCAGCCCAATATATTTCACAAATAAGAGCAGCTGCTGTAGACAAACTCTGGGGGTCCGGCACCCTGCCACTACCACCAGCCAGCAGTCCTAAAGAACACAGTTTGGAAGCCATGACCTGGGCCAAATCAAAGCTCCGGGAGGGAGGAAGTGTGTCTGTTTGGTCTGTGCAAACCTTAATCAGACTGGAAGTCTCCGGGAGGTTCAAGAATTAGTAACCATAAGCCAATCCAGTGTGGAAGAGAAGGATGCAATTTTCCAAACCTGAAACATACTCTAATAGCATAGCCTACATTTGCATGATCACCGTTTTCTAACATAAAGTGAACTTCAACATGTAATTACATTTGATGTGGGTCTCATCCCTAGCAAGGCTAATACTTGGGTAATTCTCTCGCAAGAAGCTGTCATTTGTCTCATCTGGGCTGAGGACAATTAGAGTCAATAAGAATTTCCTTTCATGGCTCAACATTGCATTGGAGAAACCCAAGTGCCCCTTGCAGACTTGCCCCTCTGTGGTGTCCAGAGGTCAGGCGCTTTCCCAAAGAGGAACAGGATTTGGTGTGTGGCCCAGGCAGTTCCCAGATCAGCCCTGGGCCTCCACCGAGCGCAGACAGAACTCCCCGTAAGATGTCAGATTTTGAGCCTGAGCCTGGCTCCCAGGGACTCACCCCTTCTCCAGGGATGACAGGAGGATCTTTGCCTCTCATTAGGGTGAGTGGTCTACACAAAGACACAGACCCAGCCGAGCTCTGAAGCAGGGCCAAGGGGCTGGTCATCTGAATTTATCAACAGGCCGGCTGAGCACGTTTCTGCCTCATGTGACTTTGCTGTGATCGGCCTGGGCCAAGTCGTCCTTGACCGACAGGGGAGACACACAGAACCACAGGGCCATTCTGGGCTGTGCCCTCTCCTTGCCCGTCCAGTTGCTTAGTGACCATCACAAAGGCCAGCACCTCTCTCACTATCTCCTGCAGCCTGGAAGAGCAATTCAAGAGGCTTGTATCCGAGCTGCTGGGTGGTGGAACATGCCTCCTGCAAAGTAAGCCCCCTCTCACACTCTTCACTCCTCCCAGAAGCCTTGCCAAAGCTAACCCCCAAGATCTAGGGCAATGATAAAGCTCAAGAGGAATTCATGCTGCAGACGTTGTTAGGTCCTAAATGAATGGGTCTCAAATGAAGGTTTACACACGGGGTGCCTGGCAGGCTCAGGTGGTGGAGCAAGTGACTCTTGATCTCTGGGTTGTGAGTTCGGGCTCCATGTTGGGTGTAGAGATGATCATGTAAAGACAAGATCTTTGTTTAAAAAAAAAAGGTTTACACTTCAATTTTATTTTAGCTTTATTTATTTATTTAAAAATGTTTAATGTTTATTTGTTTTGAGAGAGAGACCATGTGAGCAGGGGAGGGGCAGAGAGAGGAAAGAGAGAATCCCAAGCAGGCTCTGCCCTGATAGCACAGAGCCTGACGCAGGGCTCAATATCACGAACCGTGAGATCATGACCTGAGCCGAAACCAAGAGCCCGATGCTTAACTGACTGAGCCCCCCAGGTGCCCCTGCATTTAAATCTTAAAAGTACGTTTCATGAGCACTTTCTTCTCCCCAGATTTTTAATCAGACATAGAAGCTGGATTTTATTAATTCAAAGAACCATGAGACTTTTTGTATCCTCACAGTTAATTATACTAATTAGGAGCTTCTCAACTGGCGATGTGTACATGGGTCATAGGTTCGCAAAATGCTGGCTCAGGGTAGAGGCCAAGTGCCTCCAGAGACCACCAGCAGCTTCTTCATTTCAACCAGATTACTTCCGTTTATCACTTTCTAAGCAACCCATGAAATGAAAATCTTGAAACTATGTTAATTGTTTCCATGGTGTCTGGCTTCAGGGCGGGTGAAAGACCCTATCCAGCCAGAAAAAGAAACATTTACATGTTATATTCTTTCACAAATATTTGATTTAGGATAGTTTGGTCTACGTTCTTCTCTCTGTCATTGATCTAAAATACCTTTTTGTTAAACTCGATTAGGTTCAAAATCATGTTTGATTCACAAAAGGTGTCCAGTTACTTGTATAATCATTCTAATCTATTCTTGGGACTGTTTACATAAACGTGGCTATTATTTGCCTTATGCCCTATGGCAGATTTGAATGATGAGGCAGAAAAGGAGGGAGGGAGGGGAGTGGGGAGAGGAGTGTAAAGGAGAATGAGGTCTTCAGGTGGACAGTTAGAGCAAAATTTGTCCACTGGGGGCACGGATGACCCTGAGTGCCTTTGAGCATGCAGCCCGATGCTGTACATCGATTTCTAGCCTGGGTTCTCTAATACTTCCTTAAGGGTCTTTGAGGGTAACAATATTTCAGTGGGGGCGGCGGGGGGGGGTGTTATGATTTTTGACATTTAAAAAACCTGAGTTGAGTCTCTTTCTCCTATCAATATGGTAATCCTGGTTAGATCTTAAGCTGATGAGAAAGTCTGATTGGTATGTCTGTGGTTTTGATTAATAAAAATGAGTTAATGAGTTAATTACTCATTAATGTAAGTACTTTCTTTGGCAGATACAGTACTTTTCCAGACACGGAATGCAGGGCAGTGGCTGCTTGAGGTAGGTAGGAGTCAATGATGAAGGGGATGGACTGTAAAAAGCTTGCGGCTTCCTGATGTAGTGGGAGACGGAAGACCTGGATTCGAGTCCCAGCTTGGCCACTGGTTGGGTGCATGACAGGGACAAACTTATTTCCCAGGGTCTGGAATGAGGGAGGCAGCCTATATGTCTAGAGTCCTTTCCAGATGTGAAATATCCACGTTTGTGTGGCTCTAAGTTCTACAATTTCACTCCTCCCAGAAGCCTTGCCAAAGGCTTGCCTAGGACCTAGGACAATGATAACCTTCCCCAACTGTGATGGGCATAAACAGAAAACCTGTGTCTTCCCCACTCCCTATCCCAGTGAATATAATGTTTTTGTCTTCCTTCTCTATGTGATCGGCTGTTCAGCATGCATACATTCACAACCATGTTCATCTTAAAAACATGCCTGTGTTGGGGGTGGTCTCATCTTTATAGAGCTCAAGAGCAGCTCCAAGCAGTGAGTACCTTGCTGATAAGCCCTCCCGCTCCCTGAATGTCTCTGTGTTTGCAGCTCCTAGAAGAGCTGAGATGATATATTGAGATGAACTAAAGATGCAGGCCTGGTGCCTCTATGAGGACAGACACACAGCGAGTCTGAGCCTTAAGGCTCTTGGCACCAGTGCCATGGCAGTGAGAGCCTCAGACAGACCTGGATCTGCGTCTGTTGCCCAGTGACTAACCCTGAGCAAGTAAGTGAATTTTTCCAAGCCTGAGTTTGCTTATCTATCAAGCAGGGAAAATAAAATTTGATTCCACAGGACCCTTTAGAAGACAAAAATGGCACACAATGTAAGCAAACTGCCTTGGTGCAATGCCTGGCATCCAGCAGGTTCCTTAAAACATATGTCTCTTTGTTTCCCTCAACA